TGTTCGATACATCTATAGTTTGTTACAAACGTTCGCAGATATACCATAGAGGCTCTAACTCTTAAGGGCCACCCACATTAGATCCGTTTGCGTTGCGTTGACGTAATTTTGAAAGTTAGACAATAGATTTAGCTGTCACTTTGCCGCAACGCGTCCGATCCGGATCTAATGTGCGTGGGCCTTAAGACTAGAAGGTCCCGAAGAAACGTGCTCAACTTTTTGGTTCAGCTCTGGTACTCTCTTCGCTCCCAAGCTAATCGATTCACCCCTCGAAACATAGGAAAATCCACTAACCCCTCATTTTACCTGTCAAACTTTCATAGCGAATCAAAATTGTGTAGTACTAGAATTTCGACTAGAATGGGATACGTTAATCGTTTGCTTGGTACCAATAGGCTAGTAAAGTAGTGAGCCAATTTAAAATCGTTAGTTTCGTATTGATTGTTGGATATACTGCACGTCGCGTCGTCAGTAGTGTCGGTCGCATCGCGTGATTGGAAGACAGCGCTCCCGGAGCAGACTTCGTGACCAAGCGGAGAAGAAGAATAGTGATGAGGGTAGCTCGATACCTACCTCAAATAGGTACACTACTCTTCCCACCGATGTTGGGAATACCAACCCATTCCCGGTGAAGCGGACGAAAAAGAGGTAGAAGAATCAAGGACAGTCAAATGGTACGAGCGGACGCGACGATGTTACCGCGACGAACGCCAGCGACATCGGTGATTTCGGCGACGCCGTCGAAACCGAGAATTCTGCCGGCCCGAGTGCGGCGAAAGTCAAGCTTCCTCCACTGGTGGTGAAGGTAGTGCCACTCAAGACGCTCATTGGCGATTCAGCATCGCTGGGCATCGCAGCTGAGTACAAGATCAGCAGGATCGGCACTAAGGTGATGCTCCGGACGAAAGCGGAATACGAAATCGCCGTAAAATTCCTGAAGGATTCCAATGCGGAATACTTCACGCACGACATCCCCGGTGAAAAGCCCTTCAAGGTAGTCATCAGAGGTCTACCGAATGTTGATCCCAAGGCGATCCAAGAAGAACTCAAAGACCGGTACAAGCTGGCCCCAATCGCTGTCTTTCGGATGACGAGGCCAGACGAAAACGTGAAGACGTACCCAGATTGTCTTTTCCTGGTGCACTTCCAGAAGGGAACGGTGACGCTGAATGCGCTGCAGGCTATCCGCTCAATCTACTCCATAATCGTACGATGGGAGCCATACCGTGGAGGCCATCGCGATGTGACCCAGTGCCAACGATGCCTAAACTTTGGACACGGCACTCGCAACTGCAACATTAAGCCACGCTGTAGCAACTGCGCTCAAGAACACGCCACTTTCAACTGCCCTGCGGATGGAGCCGTGGCGTTAAAATGCGCCAACTGTGGTGGTGCTCATCAAGGCTCCGACAGACAGTGTTCCAAACGCGAGGACTTCAAACGCATCCGAAAACAGGCGGCAACTAACAACCAACCAGGACGCAAGAAGGACAAAGTCCCGGCATTTCGGACGGAGGATTTCCCGCCCCTTCGTGCTCCTCAGCAAAGGCAAGTGAATTCGCGGGTGCATTCCGCTCAAGCAACTTCCGGTGATTCTGCTGGCCAAAGCTCTCCATCCCCCCCTGGATTCTGGAGACAACCAACAGCGCAAAACAACAACCCCGATTTGTTCTCAGCGGATGAACTGATGGAAATTTTCGTCAACATGTCCGGTGCTCATCGTAAGTGCCGCAATAAGCCCGAACAGATCCAAGTGCTCGGTAAGTTCATCATCCAGTATGGCGTGTAAACCGCTAACTATCGTCACCTGGAATGCTTGCTCTGTAATAGCAAGAGATTGAGCTTGCCGACATCCTCCGCAAGTACAGCATCGACGTGGGCCTTCTAACGGAGACCCATCTAAAGTCCGGTGACAGCTTCTGGTTGCCCATTATTCGGCTTGATCGCACCAGCTCCAGGGGGGGGGGGGGGGTAGTGTTGCGGTCGCGTCAAGAAAGGAATAAAATACCACACTCTGTCCCATATCCGCACCTCTATCATCGAGGCCCTTGGTGTGGAGGTGGAGTCGTCGACTGGATACGTCCAGTTCATCGCCGTCTACTGCCCTCGACAGTGTGCCGCCAGCAGTGGACTAGCGGCTAAATTCAAGAAGGACCTGTCCACCATCACCCGTACCGGTTCCCGCTTCGTAGTTGGAGGAGATCTAAATGCCTGCCATGAGGCCTGGCAGAACTACCAGCAGAACCAGAACGGTCGTCTGTTGTTCGACCACTCACAGCATGGGCTGTACTCCGTTTGGTTTTCGAATGAACCAACATTTATCTCACCCATCGACGCTAGACCTGTTCCTGACAAATATCGGCTTGTCCAAGCCGGTAGCCTTGAACGAACTCAGCTCCGACCACCAACCGGTAGTGGCTGAACTGGGCTGCAACGTGGCCCCTGCTCCAAGTCTGCGCAAGAACTACCATCGCGTAAACTGGGCACGTGGAAGACATCGACCGAGCGTTAGAGGGACTCCACCAAGCCATAACCGAGGCTGGGTGCGTCCGACGAGTTCCTGTGAGGGGTAAGTTTATTGTCATTGATTCCCACACCCAACTTTTGATTCGCCTGAGAAATGTTCGTAGACGCCAGTTTCAGAGGACTGGAGATCTGAGCAAAAAACCTGAAATGGCCGATCTGAACAGGCAGATTGCTTCCAGAATGGACTCACTCCGAAATGAAAGTTTCGGGCGTGTTGTCCAGAATCTGGACGACCGCTCCAGACCATTCTGGAAGGTAGCCAAGGTCCTGAAAACTCATCCCAAACCCACCTCTCAGAGACGAAAATGATGACGATCAGCCCATTATCACCCCACACGAGAAAGAAAATGCGATTGGCAAGCATGTCGCTTCATCGCATTTGCTTGGCTCGACAATCCAAAGTCCGCTCGAAGAACAGGTAGCGCAATGCGTTCAAAACCTAGATGCCTCCCATTGTGTCGTGCCTCCGGCGGATATGATTACAGTACAACAGATTTGCTCAGCGCTGAAATACACCAAGAACATGAAGGCTCCCGGGTTTGACGGTATATTCAACTTGATCTTGAAGAGACTCAGCATGAACGTGCAGTCTCTTCTAACCGCTATCTTCAACAGATGCTTGGAACTGCACTACTTTCCATTATCTGGAAAGTAGCTAAAATCACACCAATCCGCAAACCCGGTAAGGATCCAACATTGTCTTCAAGCTACAGACCAATCAGCCTCCTTTCAGCGCTGAGCTCATTCTCAATCGTTTGCTCAGTTCGGGGTCAGGAAGGGGCACTCCACCAATCACCAGCTAGTACGGGTGATGAATAACATCCGAAGTAACAAAGCTGTATCCAAGTCCACAGCCATGACCTTTTTAGACGTTGAAAAGGAGTTTGACAATGTTTGGCATGACGGACTTGTGTACAAGCTTTGTAACTTCAACTTTCCTTTACATCTGGTTAAAATCACCCGTAACTACCTCCAGCAAAAGTCGTTTAAGGTATCGTTGAATGGTTGTCTTACAGACACATTTTCCATCCCAGCAGGAGTCCCACAAGGCAGTCTAGTCTGCTGCTTGTATTTTGGAGGGATTGATTTTAATTTTAAACGTGGTGACATAATCAGCAAAGGCGTTAAGGCATCGTTGAAGTTTGTTCGTTATTTCGCGAGGCATCCTTCCTTTGACGGCTATTGCGGTATCATCTGCGAACAGGAAAAACACGCAACCGTCACCGAGAGGAGGAATGTCGGAAGTGTAAATACTATACAGCAGGGTAACTTCCACTCACTTGCTATAAAAACATATTTTTCGGAATTATGCAATCATTAGATGATATTATCATCTAATGATTGCATAATTCCGAAAAATATGTTTTTATAGCAAGTGAGTGGAAGCAACCCTGCTATACAGTATTTACACTTCCGACATTCCTCCTCTCGGTGACGGTTGCGTGTTTTTCCTGTTCGCAGATGATACCGCAATAGCCGTCAAAGGAAGGATGCCTCGCGAAATAACGAACAAACTTCAACGATGCCTTAACGCCTTTGCTGATTATGTCACCACGTTTAAAATTAAAATCAATCCCTCCAAAATACAAGCGATCATGTTCCTCCATCGAGACTGAAACTGGATCCATCTTAAACTGTAATCATCGATGGCACAAGGGTTGAGTGGTCCGCCGAAGTAACCTATCTCGGGATGCTGTTCGATGAAAAACTCCTTTTCCGTTCGCATGGAGAGAGAACTGTAGTCAAGTGTTCTGCCTTGGTAAGGTGTCTGTATCCGCTGATTTGCCGCAGATTCCGCCTCTCAAGGGTGAACAAACTGACTGTCTACAAACAAATCGTAGCACCTGCGATCCTTTACGCAGCTCCGGTGTGGGAATCATGTGCACAGACTCACAGGAACAAAATCCCAAAAAAACTGTCTACGTAGTTAATGAATAATCCCTTAAGACTAGGTTTGTGCATAAATGCAATACATCAGAACATGCTTTGATAAGCAATTTGTAGGTTGGGTAGGTTAGGTGTATATAGTAGCTGTAGTTATAAGTAGTCTCTTTTTTTCAAATTTAAAACAACCCAATTCCACCAAGGTGGTCATTCTCTAAAACAGACCTGATACGACTACGAACTGAAATTAATATTAATTGAAATTTCATAAGAACCAACACATAAATACAAGAAATAAAGATCATTTTAAGTCAAAGTAAGTCAAAAGTGCCTCTGCTCATTTCCGCATCGTCATTCGCAAGTCAACGGTAAACGGTGGAATTTTTGCCCTCTGCCACCGTGCATTTGTTTTTTGTGGAGTGTCGACTCACTAAAATTGACCGATTTTCAGTGAGACTACAATATTATTTCCAGAGAATTTTTTATATAAGATTATTTATGGAGTCGCACGGTCAATTGTGTCAACCAAAATTAATTGTTCTTTCGGACAGAAAATACATTCGCTAAACTGAATCTCTAGCCATTCATTTTCTATTTGCTACCTCAATCAACACTATTATAAATGCAACTTATTCCTTCTTAAAAGCAAACCCGAACGTATCTGCCCAGGACATCTTCCTCAACGTTACCAACCCGGCGGCTTCAACATTCAGCTTATTCTCGGTGGTTTTATTCCCCACGCTTACCTGACCCGCATCGTTCAGCTCCGCATGTTGATCCCCCGTCAAACCGGGTTCAACTTCCAGCTGGTCACATGTAATGTGGATTTCCGTATTATCGTACACGGTGTCACTAACGGCTAGATCAAAGACATCGGCTGATTTGGCCAAAACAGTACATTCACCCACGGTTTCCGAAAGCTGCAGCGATACCTCTCGACTGGCAACGTTTGCGTTGAGGGTCCCATAGAAGCCGTCTGTGGAAAAATTAAAATCAACTTACCACCCTCCTAAACATTAATTTATTCAACTAAACTTACTCATAATGAAACGTCCGGGGCCGCTGGAAACAACCTGGCACGATTTGTGAATACTTTTAAGCAGCAAATTGCCTTGGTTCGTTCTGTAGCTCGAATTGTTCGAGTAACTGGAATTCACGGAAATGTCCCCGGAATAGGTCTCCACTTCCACTTCGCCTCCCTGCAGTTTGTCTAGCAAGATACTTCCCTTGCCGGTTGTGACCACCTTGATAATTTGAGCCAACGTCGTCCCGACACAGGAAATGTTTCCATCCGAGCTTCTCAGATCGATCAGCGTACATCGGAGGCTCTTGGTTTCAACATTCCCCCCAGATTCGACACGAATTTCGTCGCTGTACAGATCGGAAATTGCTGTACTGCCATTGTTCAATACCTCGAGATTCGCTTTGATCGGCACCTCCAGAATACAGCTCACCGGGGGAGTGGAAGGTACACCGCTGTCGGAGATTACCACTTCATTGCCATTTATCTCGACGTCAAGCTTGTCGTCAGCGGCACTGTTAAATGATGCCTTGAGAAGATTCGAATCAGGACAGTCCAGCAGGTCGTAGGGAACAATCTTGAGGTTGCAGTTGCAGCGGATTTTAATTTTTGAGTACGGATCCACAATCTTGAGAATTTCTTGCGCTTGTTGATAGATACTCGAAGACGCCGAGAGGTTTCTCACTGAACGGAGCGATTCGAAACGCTTTAATAGTACTAATAGCTGGCGTCCTTGATACATTTTCACTGAATTTTCCTGAGGTTTTTTCGAATTTCACACCAAATTGAGACTATTGACCGGCGCTAGTAGTAAACAGCTGATGATGAGATATTTATTATATTTATAACTCAAACAACTCGCTCCTGAAACCATGGTGGGTACAACATGGTGATACAGCTTAGTGGAGGAGATCGCGCATTTTAGAGCAAATGGTAAACATCCCGCATAAACGCGAACCATAAATTGACCTTACCTAAAATGGTTAAAAATTGTTTATAATCCCTGCTAAACTTTAACTGAAATGGTTATGGAACTTTACATGAACGTTTAATGATAAAGTTTCAACCTTATGTATTATGGTTTTTTGGAACTGGACCTTACAAATAATGGGTTGTTAAGAACCATTACCGTTCCAAATGCTTGTTTTCTCCATACATTTTCGGAAAGAGAACTATATTAGAACCTTTTAACTTATGGTTTGAGAACTTTAATGGTAATGGTTATGGTAGTCAGTAAGGTCCACGAATGGTTTTGTAACATCGATCAACTTTATGTGGAATATATCGCGAATTGGTTGCCTGTAATTTACTGATTACCAATTCACGTTATATTCCACGTAAAGTTGAGCGATAATACAAAACCATTAATGGACCCTACTGACTACCATAACCATAACCATTAATGTTCTCAAATCATAAGTAAAAACGTTCTTATATAGTTCTCTTTCTGAAAATGTATGGAGAAAACAAGAATTTGGAATGGTAATGGTTCTTAACAACCCATTATTTGTAAGATCCAGTTCCAAAAAACCATTATACATAAGGTTGAAACTTTATCATTAAACGTTCATGTAAAGTTCCATTACCATTTCAGTTAAAGTTTAGCAGGGATTATAAACAATTTTTAACCATTTTAGGTAAGGTCAATTTATGGTTCGCGTTTATGCGGGATACCCGCCCTAATAAAAAAACACATAAACGAACGATAACCCAAATAATAGAACTATTCCACAAATGGTTTGGATGATACTCCGAACACGTCGTTAAGCAAAATAATTTCAATTTTATTAGGGCGGTCACTTCTCATGCAATACAAAAATCCAACATGACTGAATCGTGAATTTGACTTATTAGAACACCTGTACAAACTCACCTTGCAAGAAACTATTGGTAGCACCAATTGGTAGCAAATAAGTACACGGAAAGATGGAACAACTCAATATCGAGATAGAAAGTACTGCAAAATAAGTACTCCGCTATCCCTGCTCTTTTGGATGAAATTTCGTTATCATTGATTAATTCTTTTAACTTACTCTAAAGTATAACCAGAACACTTACTTTTCATTAATTTTACTGAAACACTCACAGAAATAAAAAAAACTACCCAAAATTTAGGTTAAAAGAACCCAAAAATAAGTACATCCGTTAAAGTATCCCGTTGGGTAAAAATCAAATGACGCGTTGATTAATTTTTACCCAACGGATAAGTAATGTGTAGATTACCTAAAGTTAGGTAGAAAAAAACTTGTATATTTTTTGTCAAGGTGCGGGAGTAATAAATTTTATATATTGTATCATTATTTCAATTAAATGTTTGATTATCACGATATATTTTCATAATTTGACTTATTATTAACAGCAACATAATTTTTTCAGACAAATTCACCGTTTAATTTAGTTTATAAATCATAACCGCAAAATCGACTTCAATTTACTCAACGCTGAGTAACTTTGAAATTGTCGTTGAGTAAAAATAACCCAAAGATGGGTAAAAAAAATCCCTGTCGATTTGGCTTTCGTACGAAAACCAATGTCCGCGTTGTTCTACACTTTCGAGTGTAAATTTTCTTTAGGTAAATGTGTCTTTAATTGACGGATTCAGTGCGCGAGTTGCGAGAAATCAGTTAGGATCTGAATAATTGGAGCCTGGCTAGCGACCCGCTACAATTACGACTTTTCCGTATTTGGATTCTGTGCTCGGAAGGAATTCCTGGTAATTAAAGCGTGAACTTTTTTTCTCATAAACTTTGATAACTAAATTAATGTATTTGCTTTTAGGTTTTCATCCCGCCATTCCAGCATCGATTACAAGCGAGTTTGCTGGCAAATTCGTTGGGTCGTGTATGTACATCGGTGGATAACAGGATCCGAAGCAGTCATCGTTAATCGACGTGTTGCTACGTTTGTGTTTTGAATAAAACAATAAAAGATCGTTTCCTGGCACGGTTTTATTACCATTTACATATCACACTATCCTATTATTTATTATCTTTTCCCTCATCGAAAGTTCCACCAAAGCAGTTCTGCCTGTTGAGTAATTTTAACCCAATGGTAGTTTATTTTCTGGCGTTAAAATTTACCAATTGGGTCATATTGGGCTATTTACACAAAATTGGGTATTTTAGTGTTTACCCAAAAATACCTTCTTGCACGGAAGTTCGAAGTTGAGTGAAAAGAATTCAAATTTGGGTAGTTTTCTATTTCCGTGTAGTCTTAAGAGAGATCTTATTTATGAGGACATTTTATCTCAATTTAGAGTTAATTTTTTTTCTTCGCTTCGAAAGTATCCAAAATCAAGTGTTGCGATTGCTCTTAATTTTGGATGAAAATTCGCAGCGTACGCCATATTTATTTCGTTTTCGATTTCTATTCTGGCGGAAGCAACAGAATTTCGTGACCTATAATAGGTAGTGCATAAGGTAGTGAATTAACATTACCATTGAACTGACGTACTGTTCGATGGGGTAAGTTTTCAACATTCATGTGAATTTAAAGTCAGAAATATACAGGAGTTTTAATTATTATAGACCCCGTTCGAAAGAAGATAATGGTGTGCGGTTTCGGTGATCGAAGTGTCCACTTGAGGAATACCTTAGTCTGGTCAACGGACATCCACACATGGTCAATTTGGAGCACAAGATGGATATCTACAGTACCAGCTAGGACTGCACCGTCAAGAGGAAGGAAAGGTTGGTTAGATGAAGAAAATTTTCAAAGAAAATATCAATGTTATATTTATGAATCGATCCTTACTTGTGTACATATTAAAAGTAATTAATAAAAAATATGTTTTATTTATAAGAATGTTTGATTTAAATTTTGAAGAGTAACAATTACATCCAAATTTTTGAGATAAAATTTCCTGAGATAAAAACCCAATTTTAAGTATTTTTTACCTAATAGTCACTCTTTATGCAACAGATACCTTTTACTCAAAATGATGTCTTTGCAAAATACTGAAAATTGGATACTTGGCAAAGAACTCAATTTTGTCTGGTTGCACTTAGGTGTCAAGATGAGTACAAAAAACTTAGTTTTGAGTTGTTTCGTCTTTCCGTATAAGAGACGTGCGGAGAGAATAAAAGTAAATCTGGGTGCACGGCCAACTAATTTATTTTTCTGCAAGATTTGGCAATACGCAGCTTTGTGTTTACTTCAAATGACTTTTAATTTGAGCGACTGTCGTCGACTGATTTATCATTATGGTAAAATTAATACTTTTTAACCGTATCGGTAGTATCGCTATTCAATGGAAGTATTTGAAGACTCAATTTTTGACAACTCTGAGTGAAACCAAATATTGCGCATTTCACACCAAACTGGACTAATAAGCGCGTTTTCACTTATTAAAAAGTGTGATTAAAGTGCGAGCTTCCGTCTAATTGTCTTGGTGTCTTCGGCGGTGCACTTATTTCTTATGATGCAAGCAATAAGTGCTCCGAAGACATCAAAACGATTTGACTCAAAGGTGCACTTTTATCACACTTTTTGCATTTTTGGGGCAGTCCAATTTCAGATGCAATCAGCAATATACCACATTGGATTCTACAGAGCGTTGCACAAAACTATTCAATCTGCAATTGTTGATTCCTATCATGTACAAGTGAAATCTCTTTTTAAGTCTTTCTCAAATTTAACTATCTTGAAAAATTACACCGTAAACGCCTTGATCTTTGTTAAGGCCCAAACCCTGGCCCAAACGCAATGTGGACGGAAGCGGAACGGAAACGGAAAGTTTGACAGTTGTCAGAAATGACATCAGGATGCCTAACCGAAGTCGATTTGGTTCCAACAAGTTTTAAATCCGACAAGTTGGCTTACTCAGATCGGTCTTTTCCCTCGGCTTTTCCGCTGCCGTTGCCGTTCCGCTTCCGCTGTCATTGCACTTGGGCCTTAACAGAGCCTGTGTAGATTTATTTCGTTGTGCTGGAGCAAATATTTCGTGAGAACGTAACGAGAATACAGCTGTAGAAAAACAATAATCAATGTCCAATCTCATTTGTCATACGCAAACTTAATTATATTATTTAATTCTCAACAGTTAACCACCGTCTGGCTGAAAATCACCTTAATAAAAATAACCAACCTCAACAATTAAATTCAACACCAATCTCAATACTTCCCACGCTTTTCTTCGTGAAGCGCTCGTGTTTATTTACATTGCTCGATTGGAACCGCGTTCGATGGTTCGATTGGAACTTTTGGCTTCAGTCTTCGCGCGTCTCTTATTTAAAATCGTCTCTGTAGCAGTACACGGAACGAAAATGACTTTAGATTACTGGAGCTAGTAAAATTTTACTGGGTTTTTGAATTGCGGATCGCCCAGTAATCATCACAGCAATAATGTGCAGTACCGAACTGTCCGTAAAGTCAATCTGTCAAAAACAACTGTTTTTCGTCAGCGTACCATCAAAGTGCGACTCAAAATATTCCCAAAAATCCAGTCACCACTGCAATAGACAATAATGAAAACAAAGTAAACAGAAATAATGCAGAAATACGTGCAGTAATATTTGTATACCCATAACATGAGTCATAATCTATATAAAAAAGAATTGTCTTGCATCTACGTTGTAATGAACATTCTCAACCGAGCCTGCCAATTCTTTTCATCCTCCAGTTCCCGTTCCGTTTGACGATGTGCGGAGCGATGTCTTCCTATTAGATGGCAGTTCATCCGATTTTTGCAGTATTACGTATACGTAACCCTTGGATTCCGACCAGCAGCACCAGATCGGATTCTTCACAGGCTCAAAATTCAGTCAAAACTGAAATGGAAATTACGATGGTTCCTTCCGGTGAAGAATATTGGTATTAATTTTAAAATAATATATGTTACATTACCTGTTGGTTGAAAGCTGGGTACTGCGGACTCACTCAATGTGCTTGTCACTTGGGAGCCAGTCAGAACTGTCAAACGGGAGCCAAACATTCAGAAGCAACAAACTCAGTTACTGTTCTTACCTCTCGTCAAGCATTGCAATCTCATAAAAATGATTAATACTTTTTCATAACACATTATTAAGGTTCAATTTACTTTGATGCTTTTTAGAAAATTTCAAAAGCAGTTTTTTCCGACGCATTATATCAGATTGCAAAAAGTTCACACTATTCGATTCCTTTTGATATTGTACACAAATTGACGCGAGCTTTTTGCAATCTAAAATAATGCGTCGAAAAAAACTGCCTTTGAATTTTTAAAAAATGCATCAATGTAAATTGAACCTTAATTGTAAGCTCAAAGACAAAAACCAACAGACTCAATGATGAAAGTATAAAAACCAGCCTAGTTTTTATGACTCAGCTGTGTTTTCAATTACAGTAAAACATACTTTGGCGAAACATGTATGTAAACAAACTTTGATAGAGTCATGGGGCTCGAGCACTTCTGGCTCAGAGCTTTTGGCGGGAATCAACTGAGAAAGAACAAAACAATTTTAAACTTGAACAAATTTTCAAGCAGTTTTCCATTGGCTTGCAAAATGAAATCAATTTACTCCGCAGTACTCTGGTTGAAAGTGTCTTTTTCGATTATATTTGCCCACCTGAGGCCACAAAACTACCCACGAAACTAAATGACCGAAATCGATGTGAAAACAAAAAAAATTAAAGACGGGATAGAAGAACATTATGCGCGCCAGCGCAATATTAACCTTGAAAAATACAAACTGAACGATTTCTACGCCTTTATCCCGACTAAGTATAATTTTGAAATTAAATTATAATCAAATCAATGTTTAAATAGGGTAAATTATGGCTTCGGCACCCATTGACTGTTTTCGGCAACGAAAATTTGAACGTTAATTTCGCTGTATTTTCTCACTAACACACTTCGCTGCATGTATTTAAACGATTCCTTACCCTAATAAAAATGGTATGGTTAATTTGCTTAACGACGTGTTCTGGGTATCATCCAAACCATTTGTGGAATAGTTCAATGATTTGGGTTATCGTTCGTTTATGGTTATTTTTTATTAGGGTAGTCTTTCAGCTTCAATCTGATAATATTTTTAAGACTGAGCAAACCTGTTTTGCCAGGTTTTTCTTCAAATGAATGATACGCACTACAAAATGTGGCTGATTTCGTGTTGCCGATAATAGAACAGCTGGTTAACACGCAGTTCAAATGGAATGGTTGCCGAAGAAAAAGAGGCTGCCGACAATAGTCACACTCACTTTAGAAGTTTGGAGCGTTGTAAAAACGTTTTGAACACGTTTTGGACAATTCTGTCGATTGGAATGGATGGAATAGCAAGCAGCAGATAAATCTAAACAAATAAACTCATCATATGTGTGCGTGACGCTGAGAAATTGCTTATAGAAGTGCGGACGCTGCTTAGATTGACGAGAATACGTAAATTCCCCTATTGATAAAACATAAAATGATTAGTTTTTAATCTCTCTATGTTTAGTAATATTTTTGAGTGTGCGTATAGAAATATTAATTTATCGGTATTCCTGGCAACGCTGGATTCACTGCCCGCTCCCTCGGTGCATTGGTAGCAAAAGAGCTGTCAAAATTCTGTTCGTTCGGCGTCAGTCTACAAAAGTACAGAAATTTATTTGTGCTTGCCGGGTGAAAAAGTGCGTGTTTCGAAATACAACAGTAACTGTTTTTGTTGCTCCTATTAGGTCGGTGAAAAATCGAAGAAAATGGCCAACTTAGACGATCAATATAATACCTTTATGGAGGAGCTGGAACAGAAGCCGGACATCCGCACGTTGGGATTCCATCATGACGATGAAGATGACGATCCTATGCGCGACGTAAAAGCGATGGCGGAGGCCGAGCGAAGAAACAGGCGCCGGATGAAAAATCCGGTGGCGTTGGCCGGGCATTTGCCGCTGGAGCATGACGAACGAATGGACACGGATGTGGACGGGCCCATAACGGAACTTAATCCGAACGACATGAACCGGAAGGTGCTGGTCATGCGGAGCGGCGAGATGGACATTGTAATGGAACCGGAAAAGGCTCTGGTTTATACTTGTTTCAATACGACGTACGATAGGGCTTCGCTGAATCGGGCTGACGTTTGGCATCAGATTATGGTGCATCACGATGGGAAGTATCAGAAGCAGGAGATTTTGGATGCGCTCTTTGCGGTTATCAGTACGGACGATTTCTACCCGGTTGCCTACCGGCAGCATACGAATATCGATTATTTTTTGGTGAGGCTTTGCAGCAAGGCCCTGGTGAAGCTGTTCGATAAGAATCTGAAACTACCGATGCCGGGTGCATCGGATCCGTTGAAGTTGACCGTTAAGCTGAACATTGCCAAGTACATGCAGGGACAGATCTTTCCGAATGGGAAAATTTTCTCAGCGGTCGCCGAACGGTGCGACAATGCCGGATTATACGGGTTCTCGAATATGTTGAATTTGGACAACTTTCGAAATCATGGGGATTTCGAGGAGCTCTGTGTGTTCCTAGGAAACCGAGCTCATTTGGAGTTGGTTTGCAGCTCCATCAACAGGCTGGATGAAGTTCGGGCCAAGATCAATGCAATCAAGATGACTAACAACAGTATTGCACACATTTCGCCTTTGGTGGCGATTAAGGATTTACCGATTCAGACGTTGGATTTGCGTTTCAATCGAATCAAGCATCCGGCTTCGTTGAGACCGCTGAAGGGTTGCAGCATTAACGAGCTGTACGTCGAGGGAAACGGAATTGCCGATGTGCCCGGGTACATGGATGTGCTGAAGGAGTATTTTCCGAGTATTATAAAAATTGTAAGTTGATTGATTTACTGTTATGCTGAAATCGGTTGACATAATGATTTGTTTCAAAATTTTCAGGACCGCACATTCCTCGGGGCAAAGCCCAAAAAGCAGCAAAAGGTAGTAGCAGCTACAACGCGTATCGGTGGAGACGATGAAGTGGAAGTTACATCTACCGGAGAGGTTTATTCATGTGTCAATGGAGTGGTCCCCAATTCTAAAGATTTTAAAAAGTTCAAATTCACCACCAAGTGGCACCAAGTGGTGATCTCCCACGATGGCCGTTATGATAAGGGCGAAATTCTGGATAACCTATTCATCATGCTAGACAGCTACGACTTTTATCCGTGCTACTACCGGACTTACTCCAAGCAGGACGAATTTTTCGTCATCAATAACTACGAAGCACTGGCTTTTTTGATACAGTCCAAGCTGGCACTGAAGATAAAGAGCAGTAATGAGTACATTTCCATTGTGCTGAAAATGAACGTCGCAGATTTCAAGGACGGTCAGGTCCTGGTCGAGGAGAAATTGAACTTTGCACTGACTGATCGGTTCAACGATCGCTGCCTGGATCTGTGTTCGTTTCAGCAGCATTTGGACAAGATCAAATACGTTGACTTCAGTGTGAAAAGCACTCGAACACTGTCGAAAATTCTAAGTCTGGCTGGGAAGAAGTTCGGCATTGCCTGCCTAATCCTTCGGCTGCGAAACAACGGTATCAGAAGCCTGGGAGCATTGTCAACGTTGATTTCCTACCCGAAACTGATTGCAATTGATTTGAGATTTAATGATGTAAGTACCTACATATTTCTTAATTTCCTTCTACAAATCACCGTTTTCCCTGTCGCTGCAATGGTTCGAGATAAAACAGTCGTAGAATAGATGACCCTTGCTGCAGCGGCAACGGTTGCAGCCCTGCTTGAACTCGTCCTGGGCTGTGCATATTTTCGATCCTGGCATTACCGGGCGACCGGAAGCCGGGTTGCACGTGTAGACGCAGTGCTGGCGGTTGCCGTGGATGTTGCATTTGCAAAAGTAGCAGGCCTTCAAAAGAGGTTCTAGGTATTTCAACACGATTGAATTGGGCTAAAATGGGGAATGCGATCTAATTACGTGATTCACTAGATGGTGTGGCGTGCAGGGTAGGCTGGTTTCGTTGAATAGCTTCTGGATGGCGAAGGGAGTTGGAAGTGGATCGTCGGCTGGAATTGTATGCATTTGATTCCGGAATTTTGTTCTCATCAAATGAAATATGAACCTTTGATGATAGCGACTGCAAATAGTATTGCCAACCAAGTAATTAGTTGCGTCATAGTAAAAACGTGTACTGTTTGATAGAAAGTTGAACGCAGACTGGGTGAGAAGTTGGGTGTTTTGTTTGCACAAGTGCTTTTCGGTGCGTTTTGTTAGCTATTCATGAGCAAAACCGAATTGTTTACCATTACGTTGTACATGGAAAATGGAACGTTTTATTTATTTATTTATTTATTTATTATTCTCTTCATCGGACTTTTGTTGTCTAAATGAAGATTGATGGGGAAAAGCCTATTTGGCAAATATTTGCGCAAATAGGCGTAAAAACCCCATATCTTTTCAAAATTCAAGGAACAATATAAAAAGGACAGAAAAACACATCAATTATAAAAATAAACACCGAATAATAATAATAATACTATGGTCTTCATCATGAAAAAAAAAAAAAAAAAAAAATTCAAAATAACCTCGGCCTATGGCATGGAGTTATCCTTGGATCAGTCGAGGCCGTCATCACAGAGTTGATCGGTAACAAAAAAGGAAACAGGTAGCAAAATTCATCAGATGTACATTAATTGACAGCTACTCACCGTCTTGCAACGATTTGCTGATTGAAAGCAGTTGCATTTGTCGAACCGTATCGTCACCTATCCAGCAGACTACTACGAAATGTTTCCACTGTGCAATTGAAATCGAAAAAAAACATAGAATTCATTGAAACGGGCAGACATGAACCGTATTGGATCATGTAATCCGTAATTAGTTGCACGGAATCCGAGATGCAGGAAACTTCTCGATCGTAGAACTCGTTCAGGTGCATAGATTTCGAATTCAGCCAAAATCCCGGTAGAGTCGATTTCGCTTATCAGTACGTTTGCTGCAAAAACTGCCTGGTTAATCTTCCGCCTACGTTCAAGAGTTTCAATACCCAGTAGTTGGCAACGATCTTCGTAGGGTGCAAGGTTCGTAGGATCGTACCAAGGAAGGTGGCGAAGAGCGTAACGAACGAATTTCCTCTGCACAGACTCGATCCTCGCTATCCAAACTGTTTCATACGGACACCATACTGCTACACCAAATTCCAAGATCGATCGCACTAGAGAACAATATAGAGCTGTCAGGCAGGTAGGATCCCGAAACTCATCAGAGATCTTAAAGATGAATCCGAGTTGCCTGTTAGCTTTGGCTATGATATCCGTGTAATGTAGCTTAAATGTCAAAGCTGAATCAAGTGTAATTCCTAGATCACGAACGTTGTCCACACGCTGCAGAGGTTGGTTATCGATCGTATAATTGAATGCAATAGGTTTTAGCTTGCGATGGAAAGTGATGATATTGCATTTTTGAACACTCAACGTGAGAAAATTCCTAGAGCACCACTCTTCGAAACTATCGATCAGGTGCTGCAACCGCAGGCAGCCAGTTGGAAGTATCAAACCGATTTCGTTAATGAATATGGAGAATAGCAGCGGTCCCAAATTGCTGCCTTGAGGAACGCCTGAGTTGTTTGAAAAATATTCCGATTGATCAGACCCGATTTTCACGCAAAGCTCTCGATTGGTAAGATACGATTCAAACCAACGAGTGAGTCCATGAGAAACACCAAGCTTCTCGAGTTTGGCAATTAGAATGGCATGATCAACCCGGTCGAAAGCAGCCTTGAGATTCGTGTATACGACGTCCACCTGTGCCTCTGCCTCCATATTCCGTAGGCATAGGGAAATGAAAGGAGCGAGGTTTGTTGAAACCGAACGTTTGGGTTTGAAAACCATGGTTGTCAGGAGAAATGTAGTTTCTACAGCTGGCAAATAAAGCGTCGTTGATGATTATCTCGAATACTTTCGAGCAGGCACAAAGTGAAGTAATTCCTCGGTAATTCTCCACATTTTGTTTGTCTCCTTTCTTGAAACTTGGGAACATGAACGAAGATTTCCAACGAGAGGGAAATACACCTTGTTGTAACGAAATATTGAACAGCTTTGAAAGCGGAGAGGAAAGCTCTGTTGAGCATTTTTTGAGTATGGACGATGGAATGCCAACAGGCCCAACAGCGTTCGAGAATTTCAGCTTCTGGATGGCAGAGTCGACGAGGTCTAATGTGACCGTGAAAATATCAAAGCTGAACGCGTCACTGGGAGTACCTCTGATCCCTTCAGCAACTTGGCTTAACGATGCCGTTGAATCGTTGAAAACACTCTTGAAATGCTCAGCCAGGAGGTTACATTTCTCTAAAGAGGTGTTGGCTCTTTTATCGCTTAGATGAATCTCAACCGGTAGCTTAGGATTACGCCGGAGATTGGTCTGCATACGTCTTGAGTACTTCTTGTATAGAAAACGGTTGTACATTCGGTAGCAATAACTTGCTAACGAAAATAATCGCTTGGTGAATGGATTACGGGACTGGCTGTATTTTCGAAGAGCCTTCGATCTCACACGCTTCAAGTGTTGTAGTCGAGCATTGGACCATGCAGGTTTTGGAGCAGGTCTCCTCAGAGGCACACAATCCATTATTAATCGGCTAACAACTTCGTCGAAATAGTTAACGGCTTCATTAATGGACGAACACAAGTCAAGTGACTGCCAATCTACCTGGGCCAGTGAGTGATTCAATGCGACGTAGTCAGTTCTACGAAAGTCCAGGCTTTGTACATCAACGATGTTTTCATAGAGAACAGGAACTGATAGATTGATGAATGCTTCCAACGCTGGATGATCGGCGTCTAGATGTATCAGAGGCTCGGATGCCTCAGCAACACTGCACTCTAGTGCAGCGGCTTCGTTCACCAACACAAGATCAAGCAGCCGAGAGTTTCTGTTTGGTACAGAATTAATTTGCATTAAACCATGCAGGCTAAAACCATCCAAAAGAGCACAGGAGGAAGTATGCATGTACGACCGAAGAATGTCAATGGTTGGATGATCATTCGCGGAAATATTCCAAACAAGCCCAGACTGGTTATAGTCGCCAAATAGCAGAGCTAGATCGTTGTGATGTAATCGGGACAATACAGCACCAATGGAACTGATATGGTTCTCAACGCAGCTCAAATTAGATTTACGGTCAGGAAGAAGGTACATAACGAAGAAAGAAATTTAACGGTTATTACAGTTTTTGGCTTCTAGGTTGATACTTCAGATTGAAACGACGAGATTATACCAGCGTAAACGCCGGGAATTTTCGTTAATATTTCAGCACGCGAAGCAAGTCGAGCATCGTGTAAGATTTAAACCAGGAAATTAACGATTCAAACACCCCGAGTTTTCTAAGCTTGCCTAAAGAAATGCAGCGGGCCACCCGATCAAATGCAGCCTTGAATTCTGCCTGAAGCTTGGGACCGAAGATAGTACCAGAGCTGAGAGAAAAAGTTGAGCTCGTTTCTTCGGAAAGTTCTGGTCTTAGAGTTACCTCTATGATTCTACTGAATCCTTTTTTAGAAGCGTGACAGATCCTAAGGGGTAGATGTTTGATAGTTATAATCGGTGGTACGTTGCAGTACACACAAAAAATTATCGTTACTAAAATTAAAAATACCATGGGTACCCGCATAAACGCGAACCATAAATTGACCTTACCTAAAATGGTTAAAAATTGTTTATAATCCCTGCTAAACTTTAACTGAAATGGTTATGGAACTTTACATGAACGTTTAATGATAAAGTTTCAACCTTATGTATTATGGTTTTTTGGAACTGGACCTTACAAATAATGGGTTGTTAAGAACCATTACCGTTCCAAATTCTTGTTTTCTCCATATATTTTCGGAAAGAGAACTATATTAGAATCTCAAATCATAAGTAAAAACGTTCTTATATAGTTCTCTTTCTGAAAATGTATGGAGAAAACAAGAATTTGGAATGGTAATGGTTCTTAACAACCCATTATTTGTAAGGTCCAGTTCCAAAAAACCATAATACATAAGGTTGAAACTTTATCATTAAACGTTCATGTAAAGTTCCATAACCATTTCAGTTAAAGTTTAGCAGGAATTATAAACAATTTTTAACCATTTTAGGTAAGGTCAATTTATGGTTCGCGTTTATGCGGGTAGAATTAAAAGTTTTCTATGGTTCTTTTTGGTCGAAAGTACAAAGAATTCATCATAAAAATGTGTAACCTGACAAATCAAAAGTTTACATCCTTGATAAATTTAAAAGTTGAAGCTTTTGAATCAAATTGTAGAACTGTCAAAAGAAATTGTTTAAGTTCAAAAGGAGTCGTTTTTACCATGACAATATTAGTTTTTATCTCAAATTTGAAATATTTTCAGATTAATAGTTTTCAAAATTTAAATAAAATTGGGTACTCATATTTACATGATTTATAAAAAATAATGTTTATTCATATATTTTATAAACAAAAAACAAAATCATACATTGTTAAAATTACCAGAGCAAATTTGGTCCGAGTCCTAGTAAACAAAGGAAGGTATTTGGTCCAACCTCGGGTCCACGGCATTTTCGGAATTTTCCTCGTTCAAAATGACGATAAACAAAAGGAAGGCGATGATTACGAAGAGTGCTTTGGGAACCGATCCCTT